TGATCGACAATAACAGGATCAGGAGTAGCAGCACGGCCAGCCGGCTCGGCTTCGGGTAACAATGATCGTTTCGGTTGGTCGAAATCTGATCGCCCTTTTCACAGGGAGCCTGTGTCTAAGCACTATGGTAGTTGTAGTACTGCGAGTAGACTAGGGAAGAAGTAAGTCGCGTGAAAACGGGTGGCGTCGGAGTATTCCCTTTTGCTCAGCCCCGATGAGCTGGTGTCGTGGAGTAGTAGTGAGTCCTTGAAAAGCCGACGGCCTATCATAGCCACCAAAGTAGCTTTACTCTACCGATAAGTAGGTTTATTGTTTTCCCTTGTTCCAGGTGGGCATCATCTGCGACGACGTCGTTGCCTGTGGCCCTCTCATTGACAGTGTTTGTCTCGGGTGCAAAGTCAGCAGTATGTTCGACGACACGGTCGTGTAGGCATTAGTATTACTATGAGTACACTGTATCACTCCTACCATAGGCTATGCTCACCTCCCGCCTTATCGTCAAGCTCATCATGGGGCTCGTTTGTTGGTGATAACGGTGATGATAATGCGCCATTGGACGAGGCTCAACTTCCATGTACAGTGGTTGACTTGACCACTGTGGCAAAGAGGGCCGATTTATTGGTAATACTAAGCATCGTCGTCGTCGGCGGCCACCGGGGAAACGGCTGTTTTGGGCAGATACTCGCTGTGTCATCCCGTCTATGTGAACATGTGTTGGTGGCGTTGGTCGGCAAGATCGAACAAGCTTCTGAGAAACCTCCATCATTATGCCTGGTAGTAGACTCTCTAGTAGCCTCCTATGCATAGTAGTGTTTTTATCGTTGCAGTATCTCCGACCTGGCCAGTACATTCCCATTGATGAAGATGGCTTCGTATCGCTCTCTGACATGGCTATGACAACCCTCAGGCCTAGTGGCCTCGTCAATGCCTCTGTCGTAATAAGCCCGTCTGTTGTGCTCATCCGCTTCACACCCTTCTTAGATGTTCAACCTTGGTACCAAAAAGCCCCGGTTTGTCATTGGATCTCACGACCCCTCACAAGGGGAGCTGTTAGCAGCATTGGTCGAGTCTGCTGATGCTGCAGTTGATGCATGGGTTATCGAACAGCCTAATGCTGTTGAGGCGATATTCTCCCTGGGTCCTCTTATAAGAGCAGCGATCGGCTCGGACATGGGCGGCGACTCGGACGAGTCAGCCGTGATACGCGAAGTACAGGCCTTATTGGGTCGATACATGCGATACAATAAGGTGGGTTCACATGGGCTGGCTAATGTCTACTTTCTTTTCCCTCTCAGGAGCCCTCATGCTGTCGGCTCATACCACAAATTGTACACTATTTGGCTGCAGAGCCTATAGGACAAGGCATTTATGACTTATCAGCGATTTGTCTAAGTCGGGACTTCCTGAGATTTGTACGATGCAGGGATCTCGCTGATAAGGTGCCTCGGCTGAGTCGTGTTGCTGCCGATATGTTGGGTAAGCCGTAGTAGTAGTAGTAGTAGTAGTAGTAGTAGTAGTAGTAGTAGTAGTAGTAGTAGTAGTAGTGGTAGTAGTAGTAGTAGTAGTAGTAGTAGTAGTAGTAGTAGTAGTAGTGGTAGTAGTAGTAGTAGTAGTAGTAGTAGTAGTAGTAGTAGTAGTAGTAGTAGTAGTAGACCGTATTGCTACTCTCAGTATCGCTCCTATGCTCAGATGATAACTATGAAGTAGCCCTTAAGGTTGGTCGTGGTGACCTGAGCCCTCCGGCTCAAGCTCGTTCTGGCGATCTCAACGAGGCAGTTAGACGCCGATTTGCTACCCCAGCTATTTGACTCAGCGCCTCCTCCTCCTTATAAAACGCGCTGTTTT